ACTTCACCGTATTTTCGAAATTCAGCTAGCAACACAGAACCCGTTAAGCCATAGGGGATGCGTTCTAGCGTAACGGAAGTTGACAGTTTGACCGGTTCTAATTTGAGCGGATGACCACGAAAACTTATGCCGTTGGCAATAAACTCAGTCACTTGTTCCGGTTTCGCTAAATGGATCAGCACCGACTTGGCTGATTGCTGCATAACATTACAGAGTGTAGTACGTAACGCTGCTTCGCCCAACTGGGCTTCAAAGTCATCGATAAGCTCCGTTAATGTTGGAGCAGGTTTTAAAGCCAAGGCTGGGAAGGTCCCCACCACAGCCCTTCGGCTTTCATAAATTGGCATAGTACCAACAAGAACTTATGGCGAAATGCCACACACAAAAAAAGAAAATAAAGTTACCCCTGCTGGAGTCCAAAACCACCAGACGAGGTCTTCCACACGATAAGATATATATACAAAAGTTCACCAATCCACACGCGGTGCAAAATATACCAAGGCAGAACGCGCACACACCAAACTCAGGTCCACCAACCAAGGCCAAGGCCCCAGAGCGCCACAGGACGAACCAGGACCAAGAGGAGCACCAAGACACCAGGAAGAGGAGGAGGACCAAACAGACAACAATGGACAACACCAAACACCAGTAAACAGGAACACAGCAACACTTGAACCAACTTGAACCAACTTGAATCAGCTTGAGAACAAACTTCACTCTTGAAATCACTCCAGAAGATATCGAGATATTAGCCAAAAGGCCGAGAAGCGATAACCCGTTTTCGGCTCGCCACCACGACTTTATTGCGCATCGGCGAGCCCGCTCGACCCGGTGGCGGGTGTGCGATCGAGTGAGCAGAATTGGCCGGCACGAAGAAGAGGCGAAGCAATGTCGCCGCAGCTCTCGTTATTTCGTGAACGGGTTCGATGCGAGGCCGGCGGGCCGCCTACGCTTGCCGAGACGTCCTCGCGGTCACGCTTTGCTGCTGCTGCCGCCGCCGAGCCATTCTATATTGTCGAGAGTTGGTTAACAACGATGATCGTGAAGCTGTTTTTTGCGGTTTTTTTATCAGTTCCGATAGATAGTTGCTTATTCATTTATCTACGTCGATGTGTTGCCTCGCAAGAGTTGTGGTGCTGTGGTATGTGCTGATATCCGAGACGTTGTTATATATAGTCTGACGAACCTCTCGACGCTGCGGTAGCGGTGGTAGTATATGTATATGTATGTAGTACCGGCACGCCATCCGTCGATCGGTAGCGAGAGCTAATCAATAGGTGTCGAATTTCAAACGATTTTCCGAGATTCGGTTACACTTAATAACTTGTGACAACCCGGCGGCGGCACCGTTGTTAAAAAATCAAGTTGTTATTAGCTTTCACACGACGCACGCTTCTGAGTTTTAGATTTGTTTTTCGATTTTTTTGTTTGAATCATGAATAAGATGTGGTTGACGAAGGGGGAGAAGGGGACGAGCGCGAACGCAGGTCCCCACTACCAGAAATTATACGCTCGAGTTACCCACATTAGGGGTAATCGCAGGAGTCAACCCAGTCGAAGTGCAATGAAAGGGCCTCATCCTGAGAGGACCTCCTAGTTGATCAAGGTGCCTCTCGCGTCAGGTAAGTATGCTTTCGTGGCAGCGCCGTTGACTTATAATTGTGGCGACGAAGCGTTTCGATCGCGGTCGTTAACCGCCGCCGCGTTGCAGTAGTGAATAATATTCATACAAGTACGTACGTTCGCCGTTTCGGTTATCAATGCGGTGGCTGTTCGTAACTGGTTTCCCGATCGATCGAGGAGTCCGGCGGCGGCGGCGGCGGCGGTTCGTCTGAAATGGAAAGCAATGAGTCGATGTGAGGTTTAACTGTAGCGAAACAGAATTTTAGAAAGAACAATGCCAATTAAGTTATTGCATTGAATAATAATAATATAGAACCGGTTGCATGACTGAATATGAGATAGATAGTTACTAGATCGGATACTATAGATGATAAAATCACTTATACCGAGCGAGTTTTTTGTTTCGATTCAAATTGTGGTTATTATTCTTCCCCCGTTGAGGGGAAGAGGGCCGTACTCGGATGTAGTGCAATACCGAGACAACCCGTGGCCAGGGCGAAGCAAGCTTCAATCCCAGGGCCGAAGGCCAAAAATCAGTTTAATATATGAGTTAGGCATTGCCTAACATATCAGATATTAAGCTGATAAGAACAGAGTTCTATTCAACAATGACTAAAGTGATGGGACAGTTTACTTAACCTAAATGCTGAGGGGGTGAGGTGATCAGTCTCACTTATAATATATACTAAATATAAACTAAGGGCTGGAAGACAACAATATAACCTAACATGTTAACTGAGAATTTGGATCCATGCAATTTGAAATGTCGAAACAAGAGTGGGGCTCTCTCAAGTTCGAGTACCTAGTGAATCATGTGCCCGAGTGGCTTACGTGTGTGTATATAAAGGGGGACTTAGAAACAAAAAAGTATAAGAGCAGTGTCTGAATGAAAATAATAAAAGTCATGTGTGCCTAGTGCACTGCATAAAAGACCTAGTTAGTGCATCACTCGGATGCATTTTGGTCCCAACCAAAGTGTAGGCGGAAGATGTCGCACGAGCCTTGGATTACATCAGAGCAACAGAGCTTCCTGAAGAGGGATCGGTATCGACGGGTCATGCCAAGTCGTTGGAGGACCTCTTCATTCGGTGGGTACCATGTGCCGAGTGCACCAATGACAAAGGGTAGAATATGGCAGTCTTTCCCGAGTTGCATAAAGTGTTCTTTTAGTGGTTGGTATTTGTTCACTTTTGCGGTGGCGGCTTCATCGAGGGCTGTGGGGCCATTGTCAAAGGGACAGGTGACATCTATGATGAGGGCTTGATTGTCTTCTTCGATAATGATGTCAGGACGAAGGCGTGAGTTTGCATTGGCGACGGTCCGGTCGGTTGTTACTTCACCAAAACGGATGGCGTGGGAGAGACGATCGACAATCTTGTTATGGCGAGATCTGATTGAGACCATTTCGGGCCGGCAGTGGCAGAGTATATGTGGCAGTGTTTCTGTTTCCGTGCAGTGGCGGCAGGTTGGAGAGGCGCCAGACCAGCGAGCTTTGACTGCGTTCGTTGGGAGGAGGTTCAGTCGAGCTTTGTGCACAAATCGCCAGTCTTTAAATCGCATGTTCAGGCCGGTGTGTGTCCAGGTGGAACCGTTCGCATATTGGTCGATGGCAAGTGATTGTGCTACTTTGCCTTGGTCTCGGAGATTCATTAGTGTAGTGGCCGCGCGTTGTTGGACTAGGCGGTGAAGGAATTGGGACACTGACTTGGACTGGATTTTGGCAGAGTCGTCCGCTGATATTGAGATGGGGTCGGTGTCGGAGTAATGAAAGCTGACTTTGAGGCGACGACAGGCGTTGCGACATCGGGTCCAAAGAGAACTTGCGGCGTAGTTGATGTGGGCGCATCGGTTGCTTGTGGAGCCGGACAGAAACTCAGTAATAAGAGCAGGAGTCGGGTTCGATGAGGTGGCACGGCTAACGATGCTACGCAGTTCATTACGGGCGATGGATGCGACAGTCGGATCATCAGAGGAGAGGATTCGCAAGGCTTGTACGATGGCTTGGACATCATCTTCCTTCGTGGGGTCTTGGAAGGCAAGGCCACCAACATGTTTCGAGGCAAAGAAGTAGGCTTGTGATGATCGTTTGGGAAGGTCGCAGATGGAGCGGAGCGATGATACGAGGACACCTCGCAGTGGTTCCAGGGATTGTTTGGTGGGGTTTCCAGCTCGTAGTGCGTACGTCAAACAAGGTTCAACGAAGGATCGAATTGCATCAAGTTTCTGCCAGGGGGCTAATAGTGAGTTGGTGATGGCGTTGATGTCTTCGATCATTTGCGGGGTGATAGATGGGATATCGTTGATGTTGTGTAGCATCCCAATGGGTACGCCGAGGTATCTGTAACTCTCTTCACGAGACAAGGCGGGGATTGGATTATTCTGTACGATGAATGAGTTGTTTTCCAGACGTTGGACCTGGGCGGCGTTCATTAACGAAGGACAACGAGGCGCACTTGTTGGGACGGAATTCAAGGCCCAAGGTGGTGGCACTGGAGGAGGCAGCATCGAGGAGCTTCTGAAGGGTGGATTTATTACGAGCGACAAGGACCAAATCATCAGCGTATGCCAATACTGAGATGGGTGTGTTGAAATGGGAAACGGTGCCGGTCTGTAGGGAGGCAGCTTTGGACTTTGTGGCTCGAAGGACCAACTCAAGACACAGATTGAACAAGATGGCAGACATCGGACATCCTTGTTTGACTCCAGCGTTGATGGGGATAGGATCGGTGTTGCCTTGTTCTGTTCGGATGGTAGTGGTGGCATTGGTGTACGAGTTCATCACCAGGTCTACGAATGCTTGGGGAACACCAAGGTGGAGAAGGACCGTTTGGATGGTGGAATGGGGAACGCTACCGAAGGCATTACGTAGGTCGAGCCATGCTACGAAGAGCGAGCGTTTGTTGCGGCGGGCATCACCCATGAGCGACTGTAAGAGAAAGGTGTGTTCGTAGCAGCCTTCTGAGGGTCGGGCGCTTTTCTGTTCTTGAGAGAGGATACCGCTGCTGATAGCCCAAGAGGATAAACGTTTGCCAAGGACCGAGGTAAAGAGTTTGTATATGCACGACATCAACGCGATGGGGCGGAAATTGGCAACATCATCAGGGTCGTCTTTCTTGTAAATTAGGATGGTCACTGCATCTTTCCAAGGTAGAGGGATGTCTTGTTGTTCAAGACAGCGGTTGAATATCAAGGACAGGATCTTCGCTTGGGGGTCGACGCTCTTTAAATGACGGTATTCAACGCGGTCTGCTCCGGGAGATGTGTTGGCTGCTGAGCGAAGTTTCCGAGAGATTTCTTGTGGGGTCATTTCTTGATAAAGGGCATCATTTTCGGATTCAGTAAGAGGTATGGTTTCGCGAAGGGCAGCGTTGAGGGTGTCAACGTCGCAGGCCTTGGTGGAGAACACTTCTCGGAAGAAGGATTGGGCATTTTCTCGTGAGCCAGAGTAGGAGGTGGTGTTGGAGGCAAGGATCTTCCGGGCGCACGTTTCTTGGAATGGCGGTAGAGGCCTTGAATTTTCCGGGCTTCGGTTGGGTTAAAGTTGGCAATGCGTCGGCCTTGTGGTGGGCGTCGGGGGTCTGGTTTGGAGCAGGAGGATTATTTCGCTGGGGACGATTTTGTGCATTCATCGTTGAGGCCAGTGCCCGACAGGAGTCCGCGAATAGTTCGCATTGTTCGGAGAATTCTTCCCAAGGGAGATGAGCGGAGAATGTGATAGACCAATGGTCGTGGAAGTTCTGTAATTCCTCGCAGTTTGGTCTTTCCAGGTCGCTCTGTGAGGTTACCAGGTGATCTGGTGTGTGTGAAGGGTGGATGTTTGTGTTGGTTGCTGGTGCAGCTCGGGGGGAAGGTTCGTGTGGAGGTGAGGGTTGTGAGGGGGTGAATAGGGTCGGTGAGGGATTATTCGGGGACATGGGGTGGTTGGTTGAAGGTATGGGAGAGTCACTCAGAGAGTCAGGTATTGGTAGGTTATTGGGTCGAGGTGGGGTTGATTGGGAGTCATCGTCATTTGGGTCGATATCTTCAAGTGTGGCACGGAGCCTATCAAGGTTGTTGTTGAGTTCTTGAAGGGTATCTGACGGGTGGTGGACAATGTTAGGGGGAGGTGAGGTCGGTGGAGGAGGAGGCTGCCGATGGGGTCGACTGGTAGGTTGCCGGCGATAGTGGCGGACAAGTTGTCTGATCTCTCTCTCCGGATGAGGACATATTGTAGATCGACTGTTGATAGGGATAGGTGGGGGGAACTCTGGTGACAGTGGTCTATGCGACGTGGTAGATGCAGGGGGTGTACACTCAGCGCTTGTCGTTGGAGATGGTTGGCGAGGTGGCTTGGGTGGTACAGCATTCTGCAGGACGTGTTGTATGAGCTTCCTGGTGGAGCTAGGGGTTTGCTCTGTTTGTGGCAGGCGAGAGCTGTTAAGGCTCTTAGGAGCACATAGCACACTTTCGATTACATCAACAACCTCAGGTGTTTTTGCCGGTGGAGGGGTTTGCATGAGTGGGCCAGAGGGTGCATCAGGAGTTGAAGGGCCGACAAGATGTTTCCGGGAGTAGTGTGCTGACCCAGCACGGAATGTATTGAATACTTGGCTGCAAATGGAGCATGTAGTTGGTGTTTCGGGGTTGTTTACATGATGGACACGCCGAGCATGGGTTTTGAACGTGGAGGAATCACGCTGGGTTTTCTTACAGATGGGGCACGGAATACCACATGCCGGGAAAGGAACCACGCACTCCATGCGGGCAGACGTTGGGCAAGCCATCTTGCTAGGAAGCTGGCGGCCAAGAGGAGAGCCCAACTCCTCAGGACCTTCAGTGGTCCTGGTTCAACTCGCAGAGTCTATGAACTGAGCAAAAGGTTCCCCAGAGTTGAAGATCCTTAAGCCCAGAACATATCCTCTTTGAGAGGAAGGCCAGGAAGCCACTTACCAGCACGCGGGTCTTCTTCTTGCTGCCAAAAACTTGCTTGAAACTTGCTTGGAATTGTTCTTCTAGACTTCTATTAAGCTGATAAGAACAGATACTACACTTGATCTTAGCCAAAAGGCCGAGAAGCGATAACCCGTTTTCGGCTCGCCACCACGACTTTATTGCGCATCGGCGAGCCCGCTCGACCCGGTGGCGGGTGTGCGATCGAGTGAGCAGAATTGGCCGGCACGAAGAAGAAGCAATGTCGCCGCAGCTCTCGTTATTTCGTGAACGGGTTCGATGCGAGGCCGGCGGGCCGCCTACGCTTGCCGAGACGTCCTCGCGGTCACGCTTTGCTGCTGCTGCCGCCGCCGAGCCATTCTATATTGTCGAGAGTTGGTGAACAACGATGATCGTGAAGCTGTTTTTTGCGGGTTTTTTATCAGTTCCGATAGATAGTTGGTTATTCATTTATCTACGTCGATGTGTTGCCTCGCAAGAGTTGTGGTGCTGTGGTATGTGCTGATATCCGAGACGTTGTTATATATAGTCTGACGAACGTCCTCTCGACGCTGCGGTAGCGGTAGCGGTGGTAGTATATGTATATGTATGTAGTACCGGCACGCCATCCGTCGATCGGTAGCGAGAGCTAATCAATAGGTGTCGAATTTCAAACGATTTTCCGAGATTCGGTTACACTTAATAACTTGTGACAACCCGGCGGCGGCACCGTTGTTAAAAAATCAAGTTGTTATTAGCTTTCACACGACGCACGCTTCTGAGTTTTAGATTTGTTTTTCGATTTTTTTGTTTGAATCATGAATAAGATGTGGTTGACGAAGGGGGAGAAGGGGACGAGCGCGAACGCAGGTCCCCACTACCAGAAATTATACGCTCGAGTTACCCACATTAGGGGTAATCGCAGGAGTCAACCCAGTCGAAGTGCAATGAAAGGGCCTCATCCTGAGAGGACCTCCTAGTTGATCAAGGTGCCTCTCGCGTCAGGTAAGTATGCTTTCGTGGCAGCGCCGTTGACTTATAATTGTGGCGACGAAGCGTTTCGATCGCGGTCGTTAACCGCCGCCGCGTTGCAGTAGTGAATAATATTCATACGTACGTACGTTCGCCGTTTCGGTTATCAATGCGGTGGCTGTTCGTAACTGGTTTCCCGATCGATCGAGGAGTCCGGCGGCGCGGCGGCGGTTCGTCTGAAATGGAAAGCAATGAGTCGATGTGAGGTTTAACTGTAGCGAAACAGAATTTTAGAAAGAACAATGCCAATTAAGTTATTGCATTGAATAATAATAATATAGAACCGGTTGCATGACTGAATATGAGATAGATAGTTACTAGATCGGATACTATAGATGATAAAATCACTTATACCGAGCGAGTTTTTTGTTTCGATTCAAATTGTGGTTATTATTCTTCCCCCGTTGAGGGGAAGAGGGCCGTACTCGGATGTAGTGCAATACCGAGACAACCCGTGGCCAGGGCGAAGCAAGCTTCAATCCCAGGGCCGAAGGCCAAAAATCAGTTTAATATATGAGTTAGGCATTGCCTAACATATCAGATATTAAGCTGATAAGAACAGATTCTTATTCAAAAATGACTAAAATGATGGGACAGTTTACTTAACCTAATGCTATGGGGGTGAGGTGATCAGTCTCACTTATAATGTTTACTAAATATAATACTAAGGGCTGGAAGACAACAATATAACCTAACATGTTTACTGAAAATTTGGATCCATGCAATTTGAAATGTCAAACAAGAGTGGGGCTCTCTCAAGTTCGAGTTCCTAGTGAATCAAGTGCCCGAGTGGCTTACGTGTGTGTGTATATAAAGGGGGGACTTAGAAACAAAAACAACTATAAGAGCAGTGTCTGAATGAAAATAATAAAAGTCGTGTGTGCCTAGTGCACTGCATAAAAGACCTAGTTAGCGCATCACTCGGATGCATTTTGGTCCCAACCAAAGTGAACGCGAAAAATGTCACATGAACCTTGGATGACGTCCGAACAGCAGAGTTTTCTGAATAGCGATCGGTAGCTTCGGGTCATACCAAGGCGTTGAAGGACTTGTTCATTTGGTGGATGCCAGGAGCCCAAGGCACCAATGACGAATGGCAGGACGTGGCAGTCTTTCCCTTGCTGGGTAAAATGATCTTTCAGGATGTCATATTTGTTGATCTTTGCGGCCGCGGCTTCGTCCAGCGCAGTGGCACCATTATCGAAGGGACAAGTGACGTCAATTATAAGTACTTGGTTGTCTTCTTCGATGACTATATCTGGTCGTAGGCGAGAGTTACTGTTGGCAATGGCTCGATCGGTGGTGACTTCCCCGAAACGGATGGCATTGGATAAGCGTTCAACGATTTTGTCATGGCGGGAACGGATGGAAACCATTTCAGGTCG